AAGGATACCTTTGTGGTTTATAAGTTGTTTTAGTAAATTACAAAAGCCTGCACTGCTATGATTCAATCCTAGGATTTGCGATTTGTCATCCTGTCACCTTCGGTACTGAGGTGAACAACTTTCTTTGAATATAATGTTTTTAGTACAATCAGTGTCTTTGAAAAAGCGCGACAAGTTGAACATTTAAAGTGTGTATTTATAGTGCTGTGCGCATGCGCCTATGTAATCCGGTAGACTGGAGTTTTATCTAACCCACATGCTTTAGTGACGCCTGATTTTCTTGTATATATGTGGAGAATTCATTACTATAATTGAGGCTGGAGGACTATAGGTGRGCGTGGACTCCAGTCTCAACCAAACAACAAAAATCAAATCAAATATTCAAATCAGTGCTGGTAGGGAGTGCAGTGAAAGCCTTCAGTCACGTGGTTAGACTGTTAGCTGAGGAGGGGGGCGGCAAGGATCGCATTGTACTTCCACTCACCACCAGCAAAACAAAGAAACACAAAACAATCAACAGCAAAGCAGTTCTGACATRACAATTAAACAATAAACAACCAATAATAAGTTAGGCAGTTCTGCTGACAATCAACAGACTTCAACAAACTAGTGTCCTGGTAGTTCGGCGGCCTGAGAGTGGTCGAAGGACTTCCTGTACACAACCCCCAATTTTTGATTTTCACTACTTTTAAAACTAACATTCTTCATGTACATTGAGCAAGACTGATAGTGATGATAAGTTGAATTAGTAAGTGGCATGGGTTATTACGTTGTTTTCATGTGGATAAGGAATTATTGATCGAATATTCTTTAAAAATGTATTCTAAAGTTCTGTTGTGAACCGAAGCCGTGTTGTCTACCGTTGTATGGTACTGATCAGTTGAGAAAGCCGGTTTGTATCTGTCGATTACTTGTTCAGCTTTAAGATTCTCCACTGACTTGGAGTAGAAAAASAAATTAATTCTAAAAATTTCATCAGTTCTTGATGATTTCCTTCGTTTAAACTTCGACACATCACTAACCAATTACAAACCACAATAAAGGGGATTCCCCTTATTTGATATTCATCTGCATAAATAATGTCTGTTAAGACGTGGCTGTCTGGCTGTAACAGAATAATGATTTATAAGTTCTCATATTGATTAACATTCTCACGAATGTTATTTCCTTATCACTTAAGAAATGATTTCCCATCAGAACTCTTTGTCAAATTGACAATAACATCCTAACTTTGTATCTTCAACGCATGCGCTTGTTGTTCCCAGTATGGATTAAACAAGTAGTTGTCGTCCCACATGTATGGATGAAGAACAAAAATCTTGTATAAAAGGAGCATCAAARAGATCTGTTAGGGATTGTGAGTGTATTGAAAAAGCAGAAATRCGCTATACACAAYGAATCCTGCTTTTTGCTTGTTCCTAAAGGGTCTGATTACATCCTCCAGGGAGAGGAAAACTAAGAGTTTCAGTATACCACCCTCTATAGGCACCCTATMATTATGTGATCAGTATTGTAGGCCCGTAGCTGCCTTACAAATGGGTGGGTGCCTCGGGACCTATTAAAAGGGTTTATAGTGTGTAAGAAATGGCTGCTAGAATGAGCAATAGATAACAAAATACTATCTCATAAATAGTTTATAACAAAAGAATTTTAAAATAGAACCTCCCGACCCCCCCAGCCTACGGGCCTGTATTGTTTGTCCATTGTTATTCAACAAATCGTGAGATTCGTTGGAATCGGCATAGAGACTTAATTTRCTGCCAAAGCTCTTTTACTTAGCCTCTTCTGAAGACGTTATTGGTATGCCCGATACTAATAACGTCTGCAAWGGAAGYTATCTTTTACTTTCACATGCTTTAAAATTCCTTGAAATTCTACGTCAATGAATGGCTTTATGGATGGTAATATAGATCTAATATAATCGTAGTAATACTTATTACTGTACTAACCTTCACTGTTTTCTCCCAGCATCTCATGCACCACCAAAACCAGTTTTACAGGCTCTTGGACGTCACGAAATCCTTGTTCAATGGGACCACCCGCCTAGACCTCTGGGAAGAATAAACAGYTATGAAGTCAAAGTCAATGATATGGTGATTTACTCGGGCATCGAGAGAAGTTGTATTGCACGCTTCCTAAAACCCAACACTGAATATGTAGTCACGGTAAGAATTACATTTAGAAGTAATGCTATATTCCTTAAAGCAAGAGTTTTAAATCTAGAGTCMTTTTTCGAAATATTGGGAATAGATGTAATAGTGCATTTCTACGGCAGTTCGTGTTATGTGCGACTATTCAAACRGAATATCGAAAGTGAACTTTTTGCCATGACATTTGATAGTGTAGAATTTCAACTTGTCGTCTCGTACCCAGAGCWCTCACTTTTGCGGCGTCAGCAGACCGTTGATAGCCGGAAAGGCTCTGGGTTGGAGGCTGCTTGTTGTCTCCTTAAGTTAAGGTGTTGGTCGTTCTGAAACGAATAGGATGGAGGGAAATGTCCAAATGATACTAAATCATAAAACCTCACAAATTAAAACTAGTGAGAATGAGAAGTGTAAGCGATTTCTTGTGTCTTTATCTAGTAATTCCAATAATGCACATAGGGTAGACAGGTCGTCCATTTACATACTATCCAACGTTCATCGAAATACAGGAGAAATTGTTTTTTTTTAATTAATCACGCCAACTTTATCTGTGTTTGATAGGTTATGTTTGTCTATTGCGACCAGCTGTATTTACGACCATTGTTGGTCGCTTTAAGTCGATAATCTTCATGACCTTTATCAGTGTTTGATAG